TCGAAGGGGGCCACGACACAAGACTAATGGATCTTTCCCCGAGCATCGACTTCCTTGTTTACTTCGTGACATTGGCCAATCAGCAAATTGCAAACAGTGACGTAACAATGCTCCCTTTTCGCATCCGCTCAGTCACTTTTCTCACTCAGACAGATTTTCAAGCGTGGTCGTAAACATTACCTCGTTTTCGCATTTTTGAACTCTCTTCGTTAGTTTTCAGTTGTGTTTTGGAAACTTAAATGTAAATCAGATATGTCAATGGTCACCCTGTCTTCCTAGGAGTTTTAATTTAATTGCAGTAATAAAAATTAGTGTAGAAATAGCTGTGATAGACTAGGCTAAAACTCTTCAACGGTGATTTTAAAAAACAGATTGTTGTATGCGATGAATCATAATGATGGTTTGAAACACATACCCCATTTTACAAGCGCCAACTCGCAAAAGAACTCTTAGAATAGCCCCGAAAATTCTGCAATGGTAAAGTATAGGATGAATTTTTCGGGGGTCAAAGGTCGGGGAAAGGTCCATAATTTATTATATAGCGACTTCGTTTGCATACTTTTCACGGCAGTTTCATTACCTGAATAGGATTGTGAATGTTTGATCATAATGGAATTTGAAGTCTACCAATGAAAATAGTTCGCCGGTAGGCCGTCTGGTCTAACCTACAGAATGGCAGTTCCACTCGACTGCGAGATAACCTTCGCTAGCGTGTTATAGACGCAATTACGAAAATGGAACTGCAGTTCCGTTTTAGATGAACACATGAATAGCTGCGTTCCTGGGCCTTCAAGCACAGAAAGATGTACTAACAACAACAGTTCCGTTGATTTTACTAAAGTAAATTAAGATGCCAGAGAATGTGATTAATGCTGGCATTGCTCGCATGTAATGAGCAATAAATCCATCTGAACTCCAAAATACCGCGACAAAAATTACTCCCGTTGAAAGACGTTGGCATCGGTTTCTTTGCTGCCAAGCGAGTTAGATTTGACAGGAACGCACATTGACTAAGTTCGGGTTTCTGTCGGAGCAAAAGCCAATCTTTATTACCACAAAAACAAAATTTATAAACCGTCTTGATGTTGACATCCGTCTAGCTATAAAAAAGACTGCGCCTAATACGATAAACCTGTCAGACAGTCCTATGAAGCGAGGAAATTTAAGGGGAAAGAATTCCACAGCTTGGGCCCAGTAAAACATAGGCCATAGGGCATGCTGGCTCACAGATGTACTGATAAAAGGTATGAACAAATTGGAACTACTTCTTCGATTGGAAGTAATTTTAGTTATTATGTCGTCGAAGCAGTTGGACAAGGAATTGTTATGAAAATCATAGATGAATGATAATACTTCAATTTTTTTTTTCTTTAACTGCTTGCGGGCGCGAGCGGGTCGCCAGCCTGAATGAATTTGCTGTTTTATTTTATCTCCTTTTGCCTGGGGTCTATCGCTGATCTCCCATTTCCATCTTAATTTGCTTCTCCCGCTACTGATTTCACTTTACCGTTTGCTATCTTAAATATCTTTTTTTCCTCGACTGCTTTGGGGGTCTCGCTGATTTTCATTAAATTTCACTTGTTCTTAATTTCATTTTCGCTGTTTCCAAGCCTAATTTTCTCGCTGATTTATATTTTCACTTTGTCTCCATTTTATTTATTTGACTGACTGCGAATTGGTTGCTGTTTTCCTTATTTATTTCCCCTAGCTAGACTGCTTGGTACTTACTGACTTTTATTATCTCTGTTTAGCTGTTTTTTTATATTTATTTTCCACTCACTGGACTGCTTTCGGTTAGGTATACCGCTGCTTCATTCAATTCACAACTTGCTTGCTTGATTATATTTTTTCCTTCACTGCTTTTGGTGATTCAATTATTTTTAATCTCCTTTGTCTCGGCTGCTATATTTTAAATCGTTGCTGCCTCAGCCAGTCTAGTTTCTTTCAATTCATTTCTCATCTCAAGTTTTTTTCTTTGGGCCTCCCTGATTTCCATTTTCACTCTCAGCCTTTATTTATTTATTGTCTGCTGACGGATGGCTGCTTTTTTAATTTTTTTCTAATTTTGATATCCAGGTTTCTTTTTTGGAACTTTAGGATAGTATAGGAGTTACATATTTATCCCGGGGGAAAGGAAAGCCGACGAGACGGCTTAATTATATGACGAACCACGGTCTCTCGTCCGGTTTCCAGTCCAGGTCGGGTATGGGGATTAGTTAGCCAGTTATCTGTTTTCGGAAGCATGGACTTGATGGTGGAGGAAGCCATAACCGACCAGCGGTTACGTGAACCACCATACGGCGGCGAGGAGTCCAGCAATCCTCTCGCAGATGATCATCTGCGAACCCACGAAGGGTAATCAGAGATGTGGTGGCGAGCGTATTCCTAACGCTTAGCACGATGCGCCACACCGCCGAGCCTTTGTTTTTTATTTATCTAATTTCTCTCATAACTTTCTTTTTTAGTTAGTTTTGTGATTGCGCGGGCTCATTTATGTATGTTGTAATTTACTCTTCCAATCTTGCTGTTATCGCTCCGTTTTTACCCGACTGATCGAGCGCCTTGCCCCGTTTCCTTGAACAGGGTGTTGTTAGGTATTGATTTGTATGTAATGCTCATCGTCATTGATTGATTTCGATTGCTGCGCCACAGCGATCCTCCCTGATTTCCATTATTTTGTATTTTTACTCCCACTTGCATATCGCTGAGTATATTTTTACCCACTCGATCTTTGGAGCGATTTTCACTCACTCTATACTTATTTCTGTTTAGTGGCCTGCTGCTGGCATCGTCAACTTGCTACATTTCTTTCACGGCTTGCGTCTCGTATGGCTGCCTGTCACTAGTTCCCGTTTACCTCCCCCTTTTGCTCTCCTTGGCTGCCGCTCTCGATTGGTCGTTGTGCCTTTTCTTCCCTCGACCGCCTGTGACTCAATCTACCCAGTCTGGTTCGAAGACTTGTCCTCAATGTTTGACTATGTTGCTACGCTTCCCCTGCGCCACCGCTTCTGATGAAGATCGAGGGGATCAGAATCTTACTTAATTAACGACTCCACGCTTGACAGCCCACGACAAGGCTAAATAACCCCGAAAAATTTACTATATTTCTATCACCCGGAATAAATACGTAAATCCTATCCTACTTTTCTAAGTTTCACAGCTAATTTTGATGTCCGGTACCGTATCTACTCGAAATGGTATTGTAGAAGTTTTACCTCAGAATCGAAACGAGGTTTTTACAGTCGACACTGCTCCGATTTCACGACGTCTTGCTTCATGCTACCAGCCACGTTCTACAGTCTCTACGTTCTTGCCAACGTACTCATGTTCGCGCGAATGTTCCACGGTCGCAAAAGCTTTTCCACATGCTGCCGCTCTGCGTTTTTCATAGTTACGTGCAAGTTCTACCAAATGCAGAAATGCGCTTCAAGCACGAGGTTATTCCAATTTCGCAGACGTTTGAAACGACCTTTCCTGCACAGATTTATTGAGTAGAATTCACGTCCAATAGATAGGTGCCGATATCAGAAGACGTTCTGTAACCACTGACCTCCAGACTCTTGGTGGATTAATAAGTAATTACAATTCACTTCGGATGGATGTTCCACGGTCGCAAAAGCTTTTCCACATGCTGCCGCTCTGCGTTTTTCATAGTTACGTGCAAGTTCTACCAAATGCAGAAATGCGCTTCAAGCACGAGGTTATTCCAATTTCGCAGACGTTTGAAACGACCTTTCCTGCACAGATTTATTGAGTAGAATTCACGTCCAATAGATAGGTGCCGATATCAGAAGACGTTCTGTAACCACTGACCTCCAGACTCTTGGTGGATTAATAAGTAATTACAATTCACTTCGGATGGATAGGTGCCGATATCGGTAGACGTTACCGGTACCGTACCGATATGGAACCACTGACTTTCAGACTCTTGGTAGACCGGTACACGGCAAAAGTCGATTTTCCCATTTATTTTAGAAATTCGGCGTCGTAACATTTATTAATATGCCAGTCTTGATATTATCAATCGCAGCAAAATACATCAAAATTATTATTTTTTTAAGAATTTTCACAGTCTGTCATTTCAGCATTTTATGGTGGGTTAAAAATGACAACACACTTACTGAAATTTGGGGAAGTAACTTCCAAGAAGTTGCTAAAAAATTGAGGTTTAATTAAACATTTTGACATCTGAACATGCAGACATGTGAAATAAAGACATCTACCAGCCAAGGCAATTTCACCATGTGATGTAACCTGAAATATGACTAAAAAACATACCTACTTCTGTACTTGCAAGATAGATTTCATCAACATTGGGTAAATTAGGTAAAAAATCACTTCTGCACTATGCGAGTGATCAGGCTTCATGCGGAGCTGTTTTATGCAACAAATAAATATGTTATAGTCTACTAAACGACATCTTACTGTCTCAACTTGTGACAGTTGCCATAATATTGTAATACCCGTCCATTTTGTTGTCGATTTTGGGTACGGCAGCTTTGGCTCGTGCCATGGGCACCGTTTGGAGGGTAGTTATATGGCTTATTCGACATATGGGACCTAGCAATTTCATAACTACCCTCGTTTGGACAGGTAGGGGGGCGGGGGAATTCAATTGTAACATGTTTCAATAGTATAATTTTAAAATTGAATACAATTAAAACTCAATCATTTCTAGTGCATTTTCTTTGCCATGGGTGACATTTAACAAAGATAAGCAACTGCAGAACTGGGGCTTACTACTGTCAGACTGTACTAGCCAGGTTCAAAAAAGATTAGTTTAAACCTCTAATTTGAATGCCTATTTGACTAGAGAAGAACTAACATACTTTTTAGTACAAATCTTGTTTCCAATAAACTCAAAAATTGGGGGCAGACTATCTGACGATGGGTATTCACTGCTTTTAACTCTCAGCATGGTCAAATCAAACTTCTGACTTTTCCATGGACCACTTTAACTACCTCATTTCATTTGGACCTCTTTTGCAGTTTTAAATACTGAAAAAAATCTTTTGCTTCATTTTAAAGCATTTTCTATGTCTTTCTTTATAGATTTTAGCTTACAGAATTGTCCTATAACAACAGAATAATGGGAATTCTCGGTCTCTCAAAGTTGATATTCGACAAAGCCCCATCTGCTGTCAGAGAAAATAGCATTAAAAATTACTTTGGTCGAAAAGTTGCGATTGACGCTTCAATGGCCATTTATCAATTTTTGATTGCAATAAGACAAGATGGAAATCAATTAACAAATGATGAAGGAGAAGTAACTAGCCATCTTGCAGGATTGTTTTATCGTACAATTCGAATGTTAGACAATGGTATAAAGCCTGTATACGTCTTCGATGGTAAACCTCCTCAGATGAAGTCTGGTGAGCTCGAAAAGCGAAAGGAAAGACGAGAGGAAGCTGAGAAGAAACTTGCGGAAGCAACAGAGGCAGGAGAGCAAGAAGAAGTTGACAAATTTCAAAGACGACTGTGAAAGTCACTAAACAGCATATGGATGATTGTAAAAAGTTACTTACTTTAATGGGAGTCCCTGTCGTCTCTGCACCAACTGAAGCGGAAGCACAATGTGCTACTTGGTAAAAGCTGGAAAAGTTTATGCAACGGCCACTGAAGATATGGATGCTCTGACATTTGCATCTAATAGACTTCTACGACATATGACATTAGCGAAGCAAGAAAAATGCCAATACAGGAATTCACTCTAGAAAAAGTGCTTCAAGAAATGGAAATTACACAGGAACAATTCATTGATTTGTGTATTTTACTTGGTTGCGACTATTGTGGGTCCATTAGAGGTATTGGACCTAAACGTGCCTATGACCTCATCAAACAACATAAAACGATTGAAAGATATTTGGGAATATTGACAAGAAAAAGTACACAGTACCAGAAGATTGGGCTTTTGCCCAGGCCAGATCATTGTTTATTGAACCTGATGTTTCTCCATGTGATGAACATTGAACTTAAATGGAAAGAACCAGATGAAGAAACTCATCGAGTTTATGTGCAAAGAAAAAAGGTTTCAGTGAAGATAGAATTCGAAATGGAATCAAGAAGTTAATGAATAGTAAGAAGCAAAGTACACAAGGCCGTCTGGATGACTTTTTTCAAGTCAAAGTATCAGCATCACCAGCTGTTGAAAAGAAAATCTGATCCGCAAGGGCAAGAGTACACCTGCAAAGAAAGTGAAAAAGGAATTCAACGAGGAAAATGATCGTCTAGAAAATAATCAATATCAAAAACATTTTGTGTATGCATAAGATACTCAAGAATAATCAATATCAAATACTTTATTGAGTCTGATTAGATGACAGAGCGAGTGAACATGTTCATTTATGGGAACAATGTCTTGGTTTACCTTGTAACCTTGTTACCTTGTGGTAGTAGACTTGTTCTATTTTGTAATAACGGCTATTTTGCTATTTTTTTCCCACCTTATGGACTCCAAAAATATTTCTGTGGAAGCCAGGATACCCAGGTGAATAAATAATCTACACCTATTATCTCTTCGGCACCTAATTTGTGCATAACTTTGCGGTATATGCCACATTTAATTTGAATATATTCTCATTTTAGGGCTGCATTCATAAGGAAATATGAGATTTAAAATCAGTGGTATATTATTAATAAATAAAGAACTGGATTATAACTTCTTGAATTGAAGTTTTAATCTCATTTCAACTCATTTGTTACACGTTATTGAATAGACTGTTCTTTGTCTCTATGTACTATTTTTCATACCTTGTTCCTCGTAAAGTTAGATTTTTTTCAAATCACAGCCTCTATGTAAATATGCTGCCTTGTTTCTTTTGTTCTCTCTACCCCAGGATGAACATTTATCTTCTTCCAAAACAATCATTGAATGATATAATTTGTTATTAGCAATTTAGCATATTCATTTTTGTTTGTGTAGCATTTGTGATACATTGTCAAGAATTCCATTATAAATAAGTATGCATATCCTGGCTCGAGATCAATGGAAAGTTTAAGTTTAAACCTTTATTATTTTTGTATTGAATGCTGTTAAAAAGAATATCAACAAATCTTCTTCAGTGGTCTTTTAAAATAAGGTTTTCAAAATATATTGCCAGATGCTGACTTAATATACATAATATACATTCTCTCCGCTAGATGGTGCTCAAGATTAATAAAAATTAGATTTTTATTCGGAATGTTTGTCAGTTGGACTGGAATTTGAAAAGATCATTCATTGTTAATAACTATATAGCATTTAATTCTACTGTACTTGCATAACATTTGCTTATCTCGTTGTCAACCTATTATGTGCTTTGCCAAACTTTTTGATTGCCTCACTGCCATTACATTGACTCTTTTTATAAGGTTTTGCACACATTGTTTTAGACATGCTTTCATTGCCCACTTCTGAAAAAGTTATCTCAATCATATTTTGTTAGCTTCAGCTTTGTTCACAATCTTAGCATATTTTTTTTTTTTTTTTCAGCTTATTAATAAAATTCAGAATGAAATTTTCCAATGAAAAATATACCTACTGAAAAGAGCTCAGTTTGTTGCAAGATGGCCGCGCAATTCATGCGACGTTGAACGATTGATTTATAAATATTTTATAGATCGTAAAATGACCAAATTGGCAAAAAAGTTTCGGAAAATCACGGACACTAAATTACCAGAGTCGGATCAACCAACTTTGAAAGAGGCATATCAATTATGGAAGGAAACTCAAGTAGACCAAAAAACACCGAATGGAACAAGTACAACAAATGGAAAAACTACAAAAAGACCAAGGAAAGCCGATCCACCATCTAGCTCTGAAAGTGATATGTCAGACGAAGAGAAGAAAGTTCCAGCTAAAAAGGCTAAAATTATCCCCAAGAAAGAAGATTCTTCTGAATCCAGTGAGGATACATCCTCCGATGATTCTGAATCAGACAGTGATAAAAAAAAAGAAGTAAAAGCGACTGTAAATAATAAGAAAAAAGAATCTAGCTCTGAAGAGGATAGCTCAGAGGAAGATTCAAGTAGCGATGAAAAAAATAAGAAACCTGCATCTGGGAATCTAGTAAAAACTAAAGTTTTAGAGTTGAATGGAAAGAAAGATCCAAAGAAGAGTAAATTTGAGAAAACAAGTGAACAAGAATCATCTTCCAGCTCATCTGAAGATTCATCAGATGAGGAGGACACTTCAAAAAGCGTTGCAGTAGCTAAAAAGCAACCTGTGAAAAAGAAAGAATCATCAGATTCCAGTGAAGACTCTGATGATGAATCTTCTGATTCTGAGGATGAACCGAAAAAGAAACTTTTAGTAAAGAAAAAAACTTCTCCAGCAAAAGTGAACCAGAAAAAGGAAGAATCTTCATCTGAAGAAGACAGCGACAGTGAAGAAGAGGAGAAGGTTTCTAAAAACTCGATGAGTGTGTCAAAGACAATAAAAGCTAAAGATTCATCAAGTTCTGACTCATCATCTTCTGAATCAGAAAAAGACGTTGAAACAAAAAACGCTAAAAATGTTTCAGCTGTAGCTAAAAAGGAAGATTCTTCAAGTTCTGAAGACACATCTAGTGATGATGAAAAAGAAGAAACCAAGCCTGTTATAAAGAAAACTGCACCTGCTATTAACTCGAAAAAAGAATCCTCATCTAGCAGCTCAGAAGAGTCTCAGACGAGGAAAAACCAAAGGAAACAAAATTGAAAGCAGTTGTCAAACCAGTTGCTAATAAAAAAGAATCGTCAAGTTCAGATGAATCCTCTAGTGATGAGGAAGAAGAAAAAAAAATAAGTGAGAAAACCAATTTGAAAACTTCTAAAAAAGAATCTTCAAGTGAGGATGAGGATTCATCCAGTGAAGATGAGGATGTGAAAAAGGCAGATGCTAAAGTAACAAAACCCACAAATACTAAGAAAGAATCCTCATCAGATAGTTCAGAAGATTCTTCTGAAGATGATGACAAGAAAAAACCAAAGCAAACAAATACTTCAGTAACAAAAACAAAAGATTCGGAACCTCTGATTCAAGCAGTGATTCAGATTCAGAAGATGAGAAGCCTAAGGCAGCACCTGCTCAGGCTCAGATCAAAAAGAAGGAAGATTCTTCGTCATCAGAAGAGGATACTGATAGTGATGATTCCAGTGAAGAGGAGGATGCAAAATCTGCAAAGAAACCAGGTAAAAAATACGCCACAAGTTATTAAGAAAGAAGAATCTTCCTCCTCAGATGAAGATGATACATCTGAAGATGAAAAAAGGTTACGATAAATAAAACTGAAACAAAAGAATCATCTTCATCTGATGATGATTCTTCTAGTGATGAAGATGATAAAAAGAAAGCAAATTTGGTTGCAAAACCTAGCGCTAATACAAGCATTTTAAAAAGAACGCCTGTTGCAAAATCTACTCCTATAGCAGCCTGGAACAAAGAGGAAGAAGTCAGCTTCGTCAAGCAGTAGCAGTAGTGAAGATTCTTCTTCTGATGATTCTTCTAGTGACGATCAATCTTCTAAAGTAGTATCTGTTACTCCAGCGAAAAAGAAAAAACTGGAAATAAAGTCAAAGAAAACCACAAACAATAAAAAAAAAGGGACCATAAAATCGAAATAAAGTTTAGGTGACATGTATGCATTGAACAATATCAGATATGAGTCAGGATTGTTACAAAAAAATTATGAACGGTTCATGTATGTATCCTATACATCACTCAAAGTGGAGGCTATATATGGTGGTTCATTAAGTTTTTTTGAACAGTTAAAAAAATAATGCTCAATTTGATGAATTGATCTAATCTGTAATAATGTCTAATTTTCACAATTGTCAATTACTCATAACATATTGATTATATGAATTATAATCCCATAATATGAAATTCTTACATTTTTGTCACAGTGTTCATAAGTCTGCCTGGGGTTATTTTTTGAACTTAGAAACCTTTTTCACTGGAGAATAGTATTTCTTGGTTAAACCTTTGTTTTATTAACTTGATCTTCCTGGGACTTGAGAGAGAGCAAATGGCTTTTGTTTGGGACCAAATATATCTTGGTGTTTGGTGGATTTTGTCCTTAGTATGGTTTTTATTTTTACTAACTGTGTGTTTCATCCGGGACCCATTGCCATATTTGATATACATGAACTTATTATTTCTTCGAATTGGAGCTGATGTTTAAAATTTTTCATACGGTCTGTATCTGCCCCATTTCCTCCTTTTCATTTTTTAAATCATATTGTGTGTCTGGTGCTGTAATATTTAACAGCTTTGTTTATTTGAAATGTGAGCTGACAGTTTGACAGTCTGAGTTTGAAGTTTTCTTATTTGCTCAACTCAAATAGTTTGGTGATTCGTCACCTGATTTATCTTTTATGACATAATTTATTTACCCGGCTTCGTCGGAGTCCACAATCTCTCGACCAGTACTATAGATTAATGTTAGAATTGAATGAGCTGCTGTTTTCAATGGAGGTTTTGCAATCATGGTCCAATTTCGTTTGTTAAGAATGGTTAGGAATGACACAGTCAGCGTTTTGGTCTAATTCTTGACTTATTGAGTTCATTATAGATTTTTTCTGTTTGAATAGAGGCAAGTGTTTCAAATTGTTGTCTTTAATAATGAGAAATTTCCTGTATATTGTCGTTTATAATTGAGACTCATGAATAAATCTGTCCATTTTGCTGTATTATAATTCGGTTTACGAACAAAGAAGGTAGTTGACTAAAAGTAGATCATGTAATGCTTTTTCTGTATCTTTATTTCAGAACTACACAATCAGAATTGATGTTTTGTTACTTGATGGTAAAATTTTTGAAAAATCTTAATTTGTTACATTACAAATACACATGCTATCTTATCATTGAGTTAACTTTCTCTAATGTTAATTATTACATCAGACTTCTACTGTTTACTATTCTGCCTGAGGCATGTAACTGATATGATATGCTTTCTCTGCAGTTCACTCTGATCATTCAAATTTACTCGGCAGTTTTTGAAGCGTTAAAATTCCTGAGTCCCTTTGAAGATTGCCCAAATTCAAGTGGCAGAAAATCTTGAAGTCTTAATTCAAGTAATTACTATAATTACAATAAATTGTAATAGTAGATCGAAGAATGTGAAATAGTCAATTAGAAAAATCATATCTTTCTGTTCAGTAAAATGCTTGTTGTGTAAATGAAACAGAGTCTATATCCATTTATAATTCTGGTCAGTAGTTAGAAAGTACTTGGAATATATTTGAAGTGGAAATGTTGTATAATAAAGTGTGGATTATTGATGGTGTATAGGCTATATTGTCGGACACTGCCTATCAATGTTTGGTAATATATATAATATAGACTAAGAGGGTGAGAATTTTGTCAGTATCAATATTTGCGTGCTTGAATATTCTGTGTTTTGAATTTTTATTATATGAACTATACTGGCCAACAATAAATTATGCTATTCCACTGTCACTGCCGAAGTTTGCTTGAATGGCTTTTCATCATGTTGTACCAAGTCTAGAAAAATTACAAAAAAATTTCCAAGCATTTGCCTAAAATCAGGTCACATGAACCTTCTCAGAAAAGGCTGAATATCATTACTTCTTAAGTTACAAGTTGTCATTGACCATGAAAAATCAAAATCCTATTAATTTGTTTCAAGATGATATTTGGAATGAATTAATAAAAGTGATACAAAATTGATTCTGAATTCTGATGCATTTGCGAATCCCAACTATAATTAATTTATGATTTTTTCAATTCTAATTTGATTAATAACAAATAACTTCTTGAATGAAAGAGCGATGGAATTTAAAGTCGTGTAAATGGTTGCAATAATGCTTGATACACATAATTTTTGTCTGAGTGATTATGTTAATAATAATAATAATATCTTATAACTTCTGTGGGACATTACATTGAACTGGACTGATTTTAGTTATCTCTTATCTGAATCTGTACTTTGCATTTTGCCTTTTTTTCATTTTAGGATACCAGTGAGATGTATAGTACAGCATATTATATATAGTACAGAGTATATTATTTTTCTATTTGCTGGATCTACCTCCATTATAAGCCATCATGTTCAAAAGGAAAAAGAAAGATAAAAAACAACATAAGGCTGGTATGACAGAGGATGAGCTTCATAAGCTGGATGAAGTTGCAGCTCGTCGTGGATTTTTTAGTGGATTGAAGAAGCATGATAATGCAAAAAAATCCGATTGGTCTAGTTCAAAACACAAGAATACAACAAAAGATGGTGATCAGGTGGATTGTTTTTTGGTCTTGCAATAAGATCTAAAGCAGGGCTACTCAACTATTTTTACCTAAGGTCCGCATACTAAACTTCAAAAATAATTGGGTCCGGACTTTCCAGAAATTATATTTCGGCATCCTTAAACATGCAATTCCTCAGCCCACTATTGATTATTAGCTAATCAAGATTGTTTATTATGGCGTTATAGTTCTTTTCATATATATTTAAATCTATAACAGTGATTTTTTCAAAAGTGGGGCTAATGATCCAAAATAAAGCATTAGGAGCGGTCCGAATCGAATACCCGAAAGGTCCGGATTCGGAACGCGGTCCGCCAGTTGAGTAGCCCTGGTCTAAAGCAGTGTTCTTCAAACTATTTTCACCCACTCTGCACGAGCACATTTTTTCGCGAGCCCCAAAAATTTAAAATCAAAATGAAGTAAAATTTAATACTACAGGAAATATTAGATAAAAATGAAATTGACGGTAATTTTAATAATGAGACCGATGTGCTTTCGTATTCTTGCACAAAAGATCGAATATTTGCTCTATTTCGCTGATGGTTCGTCTTAGTACTGGTTCAAAATCTTTCAAATTTGATCAATATTTTGTTTTAACATGAGTTAGTGTCGAAATAGATTTTACCACGACCCTATTGACCCCTTTCACGACCAACTGTGGGTCTGGACCCCAGTTTCAAGAGCCCTGTTCTAAAGGATTAAACTGAACAAAATGTTTCTGACTCTTGTAAATGTTGGTGAACAGTGTAGGCGATTTACTGAGTTGTCTTTGGATTTTATTTTTTGATGCAGAACAACAATCCATAACTTTTGTGAATGTCAATTTGTGGTTGAAAATGGTGTTAACGCATACATACCCCAATTATGTTTTCACAAGAATTATGACTATATATTGGGTTTATAAAAAAGAAATATTGATTAAACCAGTTATATCATGTAATTGGGCGTGGCATAGTAATTTTATTTGCCAAGCAAACATAATCAACATAGTTTTATACATTCCTATGTATATGCATGTACGCCTAGTCTTAGTAATGATACAGTACTGAAAAGTTGTCAGTTGATCAGCTTTTTTGCTTTCTATGTATACACAGTAATGCTTATTGGTTCCTAATGCTCGTTTCTCAGGCCAGTATTGCAAGTAGTCAAGGTTCTCCACATATGCATAGTAAGAGTGCTTCAAGTCATGGTACCGGTGATGGGCATGGACAAAATGGAAAACATGATGAAGAAAAGGTTTCTTATGATTTTTCTGACCTAATAGTAGCTTAATAGGTATATTGCACTTCAGGTTAGGTCTGGTTTTGTAGGCATAACAAGAAATATGCTCTAGTGTTACTGAAAAAATTGGAGTCTTAAAAATTCAAATAATCAGAGCTGCATTTCATATTTAACATTTTGGCCGCAGTTTATGTCCAATGTACGAAATAATGGCTTAATGATAATTTGTCTGCAATAAATTAGAATTTGAATTATTAGAGACACAACTATTTGAAGTATCAACTGTTGGGGTATAATAGACATGGTAGAATAACCAATTTAGCTAGAGCCAGATCTTTGCACTTAATTTACTGACTGCCCCGTTACTGTTTGAGAGAAAGGTTGAAATTACTATTTTTTTTATTCATTTCAGACAAAGAAAAGTGTGTTAGAAAAAGCAGCAATGTATGGAGACCTTGTTTTAAAAAATTCACAATCTCAGTCTAACACACCAATGCCAGCTCCAGCACGTCGAGTAAAACCTGCAAATGACCAATCAAATCGTTATTTCCAACAACCTGTTCCACCTGCACGCCGAAAATCAGGAAAATCGTCAAATCACCCTCCTCCAGGTTACGATGCTCCTCCTCGGTATGATAAACTCCCACCAGTCAGTAGTCGACATCACCCCTCAAAATCATATGTTAATCCTGAGTCATATTTACCTGCGGTGTCTCCAGTAAGGAGTCCCCCTCCTGCTCCTGAGGAAGGCTATCAAATTCCATCACCCTGGTTGACAAGCTCCACTTCTAGCAACTCCTATTTTGCTGACAATGAAGAGAACAAAACTGTTACCTATGATTATCCATCACCAGTCAAGAAGTCACCTATGTTCAGTCCTCCAACGAGTAGCCACAAAGTGAAGCAAGTATGTGGTGACTTTGTATCTGTGTACTTTTTGAGCTGATATAAAATTAATCAGATAAATAAATATTTTTCCAAAATTCACAGGTTGTTCTTCATAAAAGAAAATCTGGTGATTTCGGAATATCTCTTCGTCGATCTTCTATGATTGAGCATTCTACTTCTGGAAGCAGCACAAAACGAACAGTATATTACGCTGAGCCAGGTTTATGTTATACATGAATTTAATGTTGTGGTGTACTGTGTTTTTCTGAAGTGTCAAAACTTTTCCTCCATCGGAGGTTTTAGTCACTGAGCTTGGCTGGATGTGAACTCTCACCCCTTTGCAGTGGTTGTGAGTCGGAGAGAAAATATTTTGAGGCCTAGTCTTTTTTTAGCGTCTTCAGTTGTGCAGTATTCACTACCTTGCAGTTGTTTTCAGATTGTATTGATATGAACTGCTTTATGGTTCTGTGTCAATCGATATTTGCCAGCGTGCAATTCTACACTATACTTCTTTATAGTCTCATATGCTCTTTCTGAGTGAGTTGGTGTGACCTTAGTTTGAGCAAAACTGTCTAGAAGGGAAGTTACCGATGTAGTGAAACTATACTTTTTTTGAACTTATTCAATACACGCACATGACCTGCCACTCGCTTGCAGAACAAAAATAAATCTGATTCATTACATGGACTGGAATTTCAATCATTCCATATGTTGTTTTTGTATGATTTAGGAAGCAGTATGTTGAAAAGTGCTGAAGTTGCACCTGTGTGTCCTGGTGATAGATTGATTGCTATTGGAGATCAGAATGTTGAAGGTGCATCTCGAGAAGAAATTGTTGGAATGATTAAATCTGCAAAAGATCACATCACAATCACTGTACAATCTATTCCTGAAGCTGCAGAACCTGATGCAAGGTAAGAACATCTGATAGTCTAACCTGAAAACTTGAGTTGAAGCAAAAATATTCCCACATATATTGATGACTCATGACTTGAATGAGGAGTCTAATCAACTCAGATTTCTACTTGCTTCATGCAAGTTTGCACAAAGCAGGATCACAAGCTGTTAACTATATTAAAAATTGGTACTCTTGAAATTTGTGAACCAAGATGGCGGACACCAGAGCGTAGTATGTGTACCAGGTTAGGGTTAGGCCATAATTTTATTCCAATTTTCCATATTTTATAGTTCTATTACGAGTTCAGGGACTAGCCAAGTGACTCCTGTGATGTTTGTACATGAAATTATGGTCTAATCCTAACTGGTACACATACTACGTCCCGGTGTCCGCCATCTTGGTTTATCAAAAAATGACTCAGAAGGAAGGTATAAATGACCGCTGACATGGTAAGAAATCAGTCTGGATTCATTATTGTAAAAGCTAAGTTTGCAACTACCAGGTGAATAATGATATCTGTATCATAAATTGAAAATACTTCATCATAATTATGGTTTTTCTGATTATTTAAACCTTTTTTATTTCTTTAAAATAACAGTATTATTTAATATACATTTTATTATTTTTGTCCTGTTGTTTACTTTGAGGAAAGCTTTTTGATTTTTCAATTGTTAGATTATCAAATCACTTTGTTGTGGTATGTCATATGTCAAAATTTGAACTTAATCTTGTTTATTTTGTCTCTATATTATTTTAGTTCAAATCAATTCTATTAAATTTGTTTATTTACATAAAATACCTATTTGACATCTATTGTTTGCCATCGACTACACAATGTTACTCAGGTGCAAACCTTTTATTATGGACTCAATAGCACAGCTTGTTGTCTGATACTTTAATTAGATCAGGTATTTCTAAATAGATAATGTTTTGTTAGTTATAGCCACACAACACAGTGTAGAAATGGTAACTTGTTGTTCTTTGAAGCCGTTTGAGATTCTACTATTTGTTTTGGCAATGAGCAATAGTTGGTTTCATTTGTTATTATGTGGTTTTTAAGACTGGGAAGTTTATAGTGGGTCAGCTTCAAGTTTTTCATCTTCTAAATTATGAATTATGTTCAATGTTATGAATACCAATTCAGAATAGAGTGTGAAATGAGAATAGCTAGATAGAAAATATTCTTTTTCATCATTTCTATGTAACGAAATACCAGTAAAAGGCAGATATTAACAGTAAAAACAGTTTTATGTTGTTTATATCTTGTGCTGATGCTTCTTATATTATAGATACTCATTTCAAATATTCTAAGTGAATCTAAAATGTACATACTTAGAATATATATCTAGTTTTCCTGATTGAATATTGGAATACTTTTTGAAAATTTGAAAAGGCCCTTCCTATATTCTATAACTTCAAGGCATTCATACTTCCTAGTTATATTGTGTTACATGAGTTTTAATAGAGAGATATTGAGCTTCATTTTAAACACTGACGCAGATTTTTGCTATCCCAACTACTTCCTATGGTATTGTCATAGATTGCTCAGGATTGCTTTACAGTGACAGTGGCATGACAGGAAGTTATCTGTTCATGACTAAGAGTCTGATCGATTCTCTAAATATTAGAAGCAAAAGCATTCGGACGTTCTCGCTTTATTAAAGCAACAAGGAAATGATTTCATGAATAGATTTTTATGCAAAATTGAATTGTGGATGAATAGACACAACTGCTATATAACAAAATTAACTCGTATATTTTTCTCTTTTACTTTTATGAATATGACACTAATGGCAGCGTAGTAATAGATCAGCAATAAGCCAGATGTGAGTCTTAGTGTAAAAAGGAGATTATTTAGTAACTGATTGAGACGGAGTTTGTATTATCAGGTACAGTGATATCAGGTTTCCTACATGCTATGCCATTGTAATAACCATTTTCGGGAACTAATTTCAATCCTTTAATCTTTTTAGCAGTGTATCTATAATTGATATTACATACAACTTGCAATGGAGAAGATTAAACTAAAAACTGGTAAACAGTTTGGCCAAACTGCTATTTTAAAAACATTTCCCGACTTTGAAACATACAGGGCGATGAAATTACAAGAACATTCAGATCAAGTTCATCATGCATCTAACAGATCTTCATCGGAATATTCGGATGCAAAAAGCCACCATGAAAAGGTAATCAATATATACTTAGTTTGGTACTAATCAACATACTTCAATAAATAAACAGGGTTCTTATTGTGTTGCTATTATTGGCAATAGGCATTGGTTAGCTAACAGCAGTATGGATTCAAATATGCAAGATGGGTTGAGATATTGGCTTCCGAGTTTCCGGGTGTAATCGATGATAAACCTAATAATAACTTAATAGGCAAATTTGAACATGTAAAATTTACACTGAAATTGCCTCTTTTTTGGTGTCTTTCATATTGGGTATATAGGGGTTTACGCCTTGACGATTTCAGTTTAAGTAAGCCTTAGCTGTTGGCCTTTTATGAGATCAAACTAGGATATAGCACCATATTTAAATTGTTCAATGGAATGACATTCTATCGCCACTGCCCTACAGAAACGGGAAATTTGCAAACTCCTATTGGAACTCTCATCAATGTGGTCTGCATTTGCTTGATACACGTTCAATCGTTTGAGCTCCTCTTCCAAAAAGGAAAATCTCAAGTTTTTAAATTTAAATGGTGCCAAAGCAGCACACACATATCATGTAGAAATGCTAACAGGAATAAACAGTACCATCACTCCTGGTTGTCATATGTTAAAAATATGGACTCCGGGGATGACAATAGTACAGTACATCATCATAATCGTGCACTACTTCGTTTTTGAGAAATTCCGGAAACACTATTGTGTTTGGAGGACTCCAAATATTTTGATTACATTCTGTCAATATTTGAAGGAAGGAAGAAAAATGTTTTCATTAACCTCACGGCAGTGACTGTTTTTTAAATTGCTTCAATTGGCACCGAGAGTTTCGGTCTCTGAGTTTCGGTAAAGGTTCTTCCGTGAAATGGAGCCTCTAGTGGCCTCACTGCTCATCCCCGGCAAAAGCCATTCCGTATCTTATATTTACAACACGAAATAGAAAAGCCAAGCTCACAATCAAGACAAAAATGGCCTGATATCCTTATCAACAGTTCTTCAGTCCGGTAGGTCATCGATGGGCTAAAACATAGGTCAGCAAACTTTGTCGTACTGAGCAAAATATACAAATTTCCGGTAGCTTGTAGATCACAATAAATTATATTTACAATAAGCCACTGCCACATTAAACTTCAAATTATGACGCACTCGCGACCCTGTTCCATTACGTCCTTTCTTTTATTATAAAATATAAGTTTTTTTTACTATTATCAAGGTGAAGGATGTGGTTTTTGTGTGATGGCCAAAGCGTTAAAATCAACTCGTATCTTGTTTGATGCGTTACGTCGTTCATATGACGATCTGACATGCGAGTACGAAGTAAATTCTCAGTATAATTTATTTTGGAAAAAAGCCGCTCACAGCAATGAAGATTAGTGGTTTTCTGGATGCATTCTTTATAAAAGCTAACAATCGGCAGTTGACAACTGAAGCATGTTTGACCGACTTTTCTACGTTACATTGACGTTTTGATGCCAAATTTTAAAAATCAAAAAAAGCAAAACTGATAATTACAACTAACAATAGGCTCGCTCGTTCGGTAAGTAGACGACATGACAACTGACACGTCTTTTCCCCCAACTTACTGCAAAGTAAATCCCGTACTGTCGCCATTGTTACGACATAAATCCATGCGCAGATAATAAATTTATGAGTAGTTTTGGTTTTTATGCATACAAAGTGGGGTTGTTCGCGGGCCGCAGTTTGCTGAACACTGGTCTAGAAAATGAGGGATGCGATCATTTCAACATAGTCGGAAATATGATTTTTTGCTTTTCCATCATGAAGTCGCGTTCACGGATTTGTGCCCAAACCTAGTATATTGTCATTTCTGAGTGGCTGCTTATTGTGTTCGGATCGTGTAGTAAAATGAAATAACACGCTCTCGTTAAGCTATATCCAGACATATTAACCAATCAACCTTGTTAAATATGTAGGCTATTTACTTGCTAATAATCAAGTTAGATCGCTCAATGCCATACTCCCATGAGAAATGGAAGCTAATAGAGCGTTGTAAACCCTCCAAATCACATTCCGGGGACAAGTTCATATCTTTAACGATAAACGAGACGACAAAGATTTTTGCCCTCTACTGGAATTTAAAACTTAGTATGTAATACTGATATATAAACGACTGGTTAAGCGTTTTTGAAGAAAATAACGGATGCCTGATTATTTTATAAAAAGGGAATAGTTTCTAGCTCGTACAACATGGCTGTAGCGTTTTTGGCATTATATTGAATCCAAGCCAGTCCCAATTTGATCTGACCAACTTTAGAAAAATGTATTCGCGTCCCGATTTATCAGAGCCTTTATGCCCGGCCGATGGCAATTTTAGACCGACATGTTCTCGCATCACCGTCCTTGGCATATATGCATGCCATGTATGTTTTCCCTTGCTCGCTCTATCGGCGATCATTCTACCGAGTTCACATTTCTCCTTTTGGTTTTTGCAGGCGTTAATAAAAATAACAAGGTCTTAATTGGGAAACGCAGTCATCGGTAAATAGGGTGCGTTGAATGACAGCTTCGTTCTGTGGTCTGCCTGCTGTTTCTCACTCGCAGACACGCGACAAGAAAACATTCCTTTGCGGCCGTCAGTTACAGATCAGTTATAGATTTAAATCGAGGATTAGCGGACGGAGAAACTTATTATGATATTTGTCTTCTAACGTAGCTTGAAATATATCATTCTAGAACGAATTTTTGATATCTAACGCCGATATATTGAAATCATTTATTTATAATTTCTCAATATTCCAAGTATAGCGAGATAAAAATAATATTACGTTATTTAGGTGTGTTATGCGGTATTAAGACAGGATACGGATCGCTGAATACTCATTTTAGCTTCGAGGTAATTCTGAATCCATTCAATGTGGTTGGATCAAAATGGGTTATTTCTGATTTAGAAACGATCGTCTTTGGCTTATCGCATAGGCGCTGTTTCAGCACAGTTATGTTTTTATTTTGTACTGGCCTGAATTCTTTCATGTGTGCTTTAGTTGATTTAAATAAATGATTGTGTCGTCTTGGTATTGGGCCGAAAGAGATTCGCGCGTCAATGGTTGTGCCATATTTTAAAATAATAAAACGATTATTGTTTACGCCAAATTTGGAGTTATCGTAGTGCGAGAATAAAAGAGCGGTTATAACAAATAAATCCATTTTTGTATTTGAATATATCAAGTTTTTTCATTCTATAGCGATAGGTAACCAATGACAATAGATTTGGTTAATTTACGCATGGCAATTGTTGTTTCTTTAAATTAAACAACTCATACATTTTAGTGGGAATGGGAGTGTTACCCCGTGTTGTAACATTTGCCGTTAACATTGGTGGGATATTTATGACGTTGCCCGACAGCCGTTTCGCACCTTTTAATTATTCGGTCCTCCTAATTTAACTCAGTATGTCACGCGAATTGTTTGTCTCCGACCACCGTTTCAGCGTGTAACATATTTTATAAATTAAATACATTTCTGTATATCGTTACTTTCGGCTTTTTGGTATTCTTCCGTAACTCTATTTTCTTGCCTGATACTGAATAGCCTTTGGGTATCCATCATGGTTGCAGACTATGAATAATTCTTTCATTGTTGGAAGTGGCTTCGCTGACCTCGTCTCATGTTTTTCTCTCCACAGATTTTATACCTTCAATCTGTCATTTTACATTATATCGGTTCTGTTCTCTTTACTGTCTTTCTCTTTTGAACAATGTTTGGGAGTCGTTTTTCATTCTGGGAGAAAAAGGAAAGTATTGCTCATGTGTGTATTCTTGATGCCTGCTTCTGAACTGCAACAGTATATTCTTCAGACGCATGCATAGAGAAAATAATTCTTCTGCTAAAATTACACTATTTGGACAATGCATGAATGATGTTTCTGGTGAAAATTCACTACAGTTCACTGCCAAACGTATAATATCTGTATATAATAATAAGTGAAATATATAACTACAGATTCTGCTTGTTTGAACTACTCATTAAGAATCATTTGTTTTATCTATCTGTCTCTGCTTATTCAAGCCTTTATCCAGGTGATTAGGAGGACTTGCAACCATTTATACTTCAATGTCATTTGATATTTCTTACCTGATTGATTCATTCTGTTGAAAACACTATGTCTACATTACTTGTTAGACACTTTGTATTGCTTGTTTGCATCTTGTGTCTGTTATATTTTTCAATTGCCTGCTTATCAATTGTCAAGCTTTCGTGCACTTACTCACTTGCTCACTTCCACAGGCACGTGATGACTGCAAGCCAAAGATTCCAGTACCCGTTGGTTCACGAGTAAGACACTTTTTAACACTACTTTTTCTATCTCATTTTTCACTCAAATCTGTGAGTTCTCAAATGTCATCTTTGCTTACTCTTCTCATACTCGCATTCCATTAAAGCAGGAGAAAGAACAAGATGAGGAGAATGGAAAATCATCATCAAAAACCAACTCAAGAAAGTCTTCTGCTAGCGAACAAGGCGCATCTTCCTCAACCTCTACTGAAACTAATTCTGAGAAGGAGAAAGATTCCAAACTTTCATCAATTGATCCACCCACTGCTAGTTTGAAAATAGTCATGGGAAAAGCAACACACAATGGAATTGAAAGCAATGAAAATGACGTTTCTGCTTTGGTCGTTATAAGCCCTGTTACTGCAAATGAATTACATGCAAGCTCAATTCCATCTGATTCTCAAAATGGAGGGAGTTTGAGTCCAGAGTTATGTAATCCTGTGGATGAAAATGAATGCGCTAAAGATGACAAAAGTATAAAGAAAAGTGATAAAAAAGAAAAGCCATCAAATATTGAAACACCAACTAAAGTAAAAAAGAAGGTTGTCAAAAAAGTAGTCAAAGTGAAAAAGAATGTTGAAAAACCTATTGAGAAAGACACATCTAAAGTAACTTCAAGCACTTTGATAACTTCACATTCAACTGATTTAGCTTCAAAGCCCAGCGACGTCACTACACCAAAAATAATATCTGATCTTCATCAACCTGAATTGAAAAATAGTGTTGCCACTTCTGATACTTCTGCTTCTTCTCAATCTTTATCTACTTCTATCTTGACAACAAATCAGAAAGAAGAAATTTGTATCGAGTCATCCACAGATGATAAAAGAGCTGTTTTGTCTGCTACCGATTCGGCTACTGAAACTGTTTCTGCTTCTCAAGGGGTCTGTTTTTTTTCTCTATCTTTCTACTTTACGCTTCTTTATCCATCTTTTACTATCATTATCTAATTTCGAGATAAGATTGAAGAATATATTCACAGTACTGCCACACATCCACAGAAATTTGATGAACATGTGTCCGTGAATGTCAATCTCTGGCAGTGTCCAATTTGATATTTTTACTTTTGTACTCCTTGGTGTGAGAGTTGTTTGATAAAAATTGTATTGTATAGTTGTATTTATAAAGATACAAGCATTTTCTTTCGAATAAACATACATAAAGCGGTTTATATATAAACCTTTTGGAGAGAGACACTTTGGCATTAGAAGTCACTCGATAAGATTGTGATTGGAAGGAAAATGTCAAAAAAAAAAATAAGTACAATTCTTTATTTAATGAAACAAAATATATGAAAGCTCTTGTTGGCATAAGACTATTTCTACAGCATTCACCTTTTACAGTTAGGCTAGCAATTTGAGCCCGTTAAATTCTATAGCAAGGCAATAAAGTTGGTAAACTCTCTTTGTGGTTTCAAGAATAGCGTACTCATAAAAAAAGTCATCTAACTGTTCATATGTTTTATTTGAGTTATTTTTTTATCACTCAACATTTTAATAACAAACAAAGACAGTATTTTGTCACACTATAAACTTTTCTTATTTAATTCAGACACTAACAGCAGAAAAGATAACTGAGCTTGACTTTTCATCGCCAAAACTTGAAACTACGTTGTCACCTGAACCTGTGTTTGATGAGACCGAATGGAAGGAAACTGAAAAAGTATGGTTTGTGCGAGACAATGGCTTCTCAGCTGCACATCAATTACAATTTAGTAAGTAAAAAGTTTTTCAGGATGAAAGAGAGGATAGACTGTTTTTAAATGTAGGGCACACATTCTTTTTTTTCTGACAGTATTTGAGTAAATACATAATATGTATGATGTTATACAATACATAATTTTATTTCAACAAGCCTTGAATTATATTCTTTATTTAGCCGGCGATCCAGCAGCAAGTGGATTGAAAGATGGAAAAACAAGAATCCGGTTACATTTATCTGGTGAAACAGTTACTGTTGATGAAGATAAAGTTGAAAAGGTAGAAAATATGCCTTCTTATTTCAATCATACGACTAATATTGATCATAAAACTGTATTCTAAGTTCAGGTAAAACTTAATCAAAATTTGATATATTCGACATAGTAAATTTTTGAATTTAGGAGTTTCAACTGTTAACAAACAACACTAAGAAATCAATGATATTCAGGTTGTTTTAAATATGATCAACATGAAGATATAGTGATTATATAATGTTCCACATGAACTTACAACCAATTTAGAATGTACCGTATTTGATATTCCATACTTGGAAGATATTTTCTCCAAATGTATCTGGAATAGTGAAATATTCGGTTTTGACCATCCCTGGTTCTAAAACAATGAGTACTTTATTGTATTACATAAAAATATTGCAAATCCCATAATGTAATTTTTTCATTTCCCCCAGGCTAATTCAGATGAATGTGATAGATCGGAAGACATATCATCGTTACGTTACTTGAACGAGTGTGGAGTACTTCATACATTACAACAACGCTACAATGGCAATCTAGTTCACACATATGCAGGACCTCATCTCATATCGTTATGTCCTACATACAATCAATCCGCTGTAACATCCGACAAGGTAAATCCGACAAGGTTTTCGGCCACAAAGTGTACATATAGATCGTTTTGTTATTACGTCTCGTTGTTTTTGTTAGTATATTTCTTTCCTATTAGCGGTAATATAAAAATATCTTTTTTTTTCATCCACTGCTTGACCAATTGCTTTGAAATTTTCAGTGGTTAAAGAATGTATATTTCGCGAGATTTCGCTATTACCCATTTATTTTGAAAGTTTTTGTGAGATCTATGGGATTCGTTTTTTGTGTGCCATGCCCATGACGTCATAAAAAACTTTGCACTTGTGGCGGTTTCGCTCTTGCTTTGGTCGTGAATACTGCCTTAGATGTCTGCCTACTTCGTTTGGCCTTAGTGTCAATTTATTTAAGCATCGCTCTATTGTTTAAAAAATATGTTTATATGTATTTAATTATTAAAAAGGATCTCAGGTTAAAATCCCATTTACAGCATCGCATCTTCGTTGTAATAAATTGAGTACACAATCTCAAAAAGGCTCATAAAAAAAAAAGTGTAAAAAAATTTTTCCTTTGGGATTGGCCCATTTCCTAATTAAGTCTCTGGGACCGGGGTAAAGATCTCTAACTTACAATACCAACATAGTTTATTGTTCTTGTTTCTAGGCTTTTATGTCTACTATCCGTGCGTGGTATTTTAAAAAATAGAATTGTTTTTTTTTTTCGAAATTTTGGAAAATTTCAATCATATTCTTCAGCATTAAATCTTTCAACTTCTTGATACTGATACTCATCTATATAATCATCTAATTGTAATATTTATATTCGCATCATACCAGGCCATGCAAATGTTCAAAGGATGTCGTCGAAGCGATATGCCTCCGCATATATTTGCAGCTGCACAAACAGCATATTCTGAGATGACATCAACTGGTGCTGATCAATCCTTATTAATGACAGGACATAGTGGTTCCGGAAAATCTCAAAACATCAGACATGTACTGAAATATTTGACAACAATAGCTGGAACAGTTAACAACCAAGTTACAGGTAAGAGATAAAATCTGATTTACTGTTAAATGCTCCATTTTTTGCTGTTTTTTTTAACATTGTTTATGTAAATTTTTTAAGGTGACAAGTTATCAGCAGTCACAACTCTAATCGAATCATTCTCCGGTGCTAAAACTTCTCAGTGTGATCATGCTTCACGAGCTGTTAACCTTTATACTTTGAACTTTGACCGGTCTGGTCAAGTAGGAAGTGCATCTGTCCAGGTATGTAGATTTTGAACTCGATTCCATCTAGGATCGAGCTTACTAATCAGGGGCACCTGCAATGTAACCCAAGATCACCCTTGTATGATTATAAACTAGCAAATCATGTTACTGTGACAGCAGAGGCGAATCCAGAAATTTTCTTCCCTTCCCGGGTACGCCCTCTGTAAATCATGATCAGTAAGACCAGTTCATTTCAACCCAGGCCGGCCTAAGTTTCTTTGTTTTCTTTGCATTTGCTTATGCCTATTGGTATTGCATAGTGACTCGTTCTGATAGTGACTCGTTCTGATTGCATTTGTTTATGACTCTTATTCAATCCAATTTTCAGTGTATGCTTGTGGAAGTATCAAGAGTTGTTAGAAGACAAAAGAATGAAGAAAATTTCAGTGTTTTTTATCAATTAGTGGAAGGGGCTGATGCTCAGTTAAGGTATTTATCAAGTATATATTATTTTATGTCTGAATCATGCTATCATATTCATTTTTGAATAGTATGCCAGTCTAGAATACTGGACTTGTTAGTAATTTTATTTTCCAATAATTTGAATGAATTATTTTGGCAAATCAATTTTGTTTCTTAAAATTTCACTACAAATAATTATAATAAGTATATGGGAAAAACTTATTTCTTATCTTTTAAATCAGAGGTGTGCAACCTGCGGCCCCACAAGAAAAAACTGTGCGGCCTGCGAAACGAGTTTTTAATTTAGTTTAATTTGGTACGCGTGGTTCTCTTTTGTGCCTGTGACTACTAGAAAGCCTATGTTAAATAAAGGTGCGGCCCGCAGTTTCACCCAGTAATTTGTATCTGGTCCTCCTGTATTAAAGGTTGCACACCCCTGATCCAAATGCTTGAAATACATCTTCAACGATAATGGTATAAATGCTCAAATCATTAGCGTAAATCATTGGAGCAGAATTGAACTGTATTGGTATCGCAGCTTAGAGTTTTCTGAAAATTTAATGAATTGGGTGGTCATGTCCTTTCAAAACAAAAATTATAGCTCTTTATATATATATATATATTAGTTGGCTTCCTTTCCAGAGCCATCTTCAGAGTGAAGACACAACAAAACTTATCCTATGAATAAAAAAGTATTCATTACTTACAGTTACAAATGGTGTCGAAGTCTATCCTATCAAAGCTGAAGATTCAGTGAATTGCTCAAGTCCTTATTTCTTAGTTTTTAATATGTAAAATCTATCTGAAATCTAATTAATTTTTCAGCCGAGAATTATTTATTGTGGAAGATGAGCAACGTGAAAATAGTTTTCTGTTTGATTCTGACGCTTCATCGAAAACAGAATTATGGAAAGAAGAGATGACGAATGGATTTAAAAAATTGAAATCTGCAATGGACACTGTCGGTTTTACAACTGATGAAACAAAGGCTATTTTCAATGTTCTTGCAGCGTGCTTGCATCTCGGAACTGCAGGATCACAAAAAAGTGAGGATTTCAAACATCAAATGAATCCAAACAACTTTTATCTCAACTTTTCCGCACTGTCACATTTATTTTCGATAAATTCACATTAATTATGTATAAATACGATTCTATATTCCAAAATATTAAGATTATTTTTAGAATTGTGATTTATGAATGTTTTGTCGCTTCATAGGTTCAACATTATTTTATTTTATAATTCTATATTTTGAAAAATCTTCGTTCCAGTTGGAGGATCCAGATATCAATTCTTGAAGCCTGATGCTGCTCAAAAAGCATCTTCTCTTCTTGGTTTTTCCATCGAGAATCTTGCTCGAGCTATCTTCCAGCCATCATCCACTCCTCGTACACCTTCTTCTCCGTCTGTGTCTGGAAGGAATCCTGCTTCTTTGCAAAGAACTCTGAGCTCTTCATCCGCATCTGTGAGTCTGTTATTCGTTTCATATTTTTGTTTTTGTTGTGATAAAATGCTCAATTCATTTCTTCACATCTTCGATATATTTTTTTGATGCTGCCTCAAAATGAATTTTGATTTTTATTTCATTCACACGAAAAAAGCATATTGCCTACTGCAAATGAACAGTAATTCGATTACTCGTAAGCACCAAGTCGAGAAAGGTTCAAAAATATTATATTTATCTCATAACTCATTCAAAAGTGATTGTATTTAATATGAAATAGTAGAATAGTTCATAATCAATAGGTTTCAGTCATCGCTCTGATATGCTTTGCAGTACTACAGCAAACTCTGTATGTAATTTACAATGCTGACATTTATCTATTTCTTTATTTTTCTATTCTTCTATCTAGTACTTTAAGATAATGATGACTTTATAGTTTGTATTTATATATTTTTTTTATTTCTATCAGGGTGATGAGCCTACTGGTTGTTCTGGACAAGATAACCTGGAAGCATTTATAACTGGACTTTATACGGAAGTGTTCAGACTTGTTATATCTGTTGTGAATAGGTAGGCTGATTATAGTACACATATGCTTCCTTTCTTTTATTTGTTGTAAAATAGTGAAAAGGTATTAAAACATGTGCATACACACAAAAAAACTAACACACTACATCTAATGATTGCTAGGCTCATTCATGGCCGTGGTAATTCATGTGCAAATGACGAGGAGCAAACGGTTTAAATGTGACCATATGCTAGTTTGGGTCTGCCACAGCAAGTTGATCTTGTAGTATTAACAACAATGATTTTTAGTCATGTATCTATCCATTTTAAATATCTATCTACCATATTTACACTCTTCTAGGTGTTTGTCTGTCTCAAACTTCAATGCAAAATCATCTCTCATTGTGGTCGATACACCCGGTATGCAATGTTTCGAATCGAACAATGACAGTCGCACAACATTTGCATCTCTTGAAGATTTAGCATATAATTATGTACAAGAACGTCTTCAACTACTTTTTCATCATAATTCATTCACAAGATTGCAAGAACGTTATGAACAGGTGAGAATAAACGTTTTTGATCAGGTTGCAAGACATATTATGTTAAAATTAGTTGTTAAAAGTTGAAACACTCATAATATTATTTATTACTACAATAGGAAAACGTTACCTGTGATTTTGAACCATTAGAAGGAGATGTACACGCTGTTGCTGATTCCATAGATCGACCTCCTTCTCAATCTAGAGTCGGTGCATCCAATCTACTCACAGATTCTAAAGGACTCTTATGGTTGCTTGATGAAGAAGCTTTAATACCTGGGGCAACTGAAGAAAGCTTTATCGAAAGATTGTCTATGTTTTTTGGTCAACCTGTTAAAAATGGTAGGAAAGTTGAAGAATTGATAATTATTTGTAGTAATAATATAAATTTTGGTTTCTCCTGCACATTTGTCATGTCTGTTTACTGTCAACGGTAGTTTATACACGAAGCCATGTACTTTTCTTTAAGTCGGTGTTCCTTAAACTCTGTTTGTCACGACCCACTTGGCACGACTTAGTTTTTTCGCAACCTTTCATGAACTAAAATACAAATGAAGTCAAGTTTATTAATACATCAAAAATATAACAAAATTGACTTTATACCTTCAATGAGGCCGATGGCGATGTGCTTGCATATTCTCACACAAAAGATCGAGTCTTGGCTTTATTTTGGTGATGGTGGGTCTCACTACTGGTTGACAACGCCAGACCCCCATACCACTTTTCCTGAAGTCAAACGCCCAGTAAATTATATATGCCATGTCAAATCTGAAATATTCTGGTCTTTACAAAATGCTTTCAATGTGGTATCTTTGTACGTGATACCGACTGCTTGTTTACAGCCTTGTTTGGAGAGAAATTTGTTGAAAAATTCAATTATTTTTGATTATGCCATGCTATTGAATACTGCATAGAACCAATTTCTGCCTAGAATTAATTATATATCTTTCGAATTGTATTCAATTCAGTTTGTTCATCAAGAAAATTTTTTTCAATATCTCCAATTACTGGATTACTAAATCTGTCTTGTATACTTTATATTTATTCAAATTGAAAATAGTTGTTAAATATTCAGACTTTTACAGTATTTTCTTTCAATATTCTAATTGCTAAAATCTTAACCATTTTTTCAGGATCACCTGTTATGAAGAAAGGTCTCAAAAGAAATCACTTCATTCTGAATCATATGATGGGGAATTGTCCAGTCGAGTATGATTCTTCCAACTGGTTGAAATTTTGTAGAGAAAATTCACTGACGAAAATGACTGCGGAGGTTTTGCAAGATTCAAAAAAGTAAGTGCTTAATTTTTAAAATATTTTCGTATTGAAATCACCCAGTTTTTGGTATGTAAGTCCCACAACTTAAAAGTGTCACCCAAGTCACTTAGTCGAGTCAGAGTTCCATCTAAAAGTTCGAGTCACTCCTTACTCAAATGTCAAAGCTAATTCATATATTTGGAGGGGTTTTTGCTACAAGCCTGACCTGTTTAATCATGGCATTTCCAATTTTTTTTCTGTGATGTTATATGTCAAAGCACTGTTATTCAGGGGATTTCATTACTACTATAGGAATATCTATAGCTAGTTCTCAAGTTCGTTTCCAACACTTTTCTTTTATCAGTGATTTCTGGTATTGTTAAGAAAAATGAACGGTGATGGCTTCATTTTGAGAATATATCATTTCCCTACATATTTTCTGTAAATTGCTGTTTTCTTAGTTGACTAAAAACACATCCCAGACAATTGGGCCAATTTTTTCGTTTATCTCTCATTTTTAGAATCATCTTCTCACTGTCCATTGTCAACTTTAAAGACAACTTACCAATTTATTTTCTTTTTCTTTCAGGAAGTATATAAGCTTAACAATTGGGGGACGGTCCTGTAGTGGAGGAACATTTCAAGGATCAGTCGTTGGACTCGACAACATGGGACGTAGTCTTACTCTACGTCGAGGGCCAAGCATGCGAAAAGTTTGGACAGGATCTTCGAGCGCATTGAATGCCGCTGCAGTTGTTAAGAAAAAATCACTTTCTATGATGAAAAAATTACAAGTGGATAGCCTGATCGATGCTCTGAAAAGAACAAATGTTCATTTCGTCTTCTGCTTAACGCCTCATCGCACATCGGTCAAAGGTCAAGAGAATGTTATTGATGTCAAATTGTTGACCAATCAACTCAGAGGATTTCAATTATTACCTGCTACCAGGGTTCATAAGCAAGGTGTGTTTTTATTTTCTACATTTTAAACACTGGGTTGCAGGTTCGAATCCTTCGGTTAACAATCATGTGCGAGAGGATTGATGAACTCCTCACAATCTTAGGGTGGTTCACGCTGGTTGGTTATGACTTCTGCTGCCGTCAAGTTCATTCATCTAGGAAAAATAGCCCGTTAACTATTTCAATACTCGACATAGATCAGTCACTGCGCAAAAAGTTCTGGTTAGCCATATGATATGATAGTCATATGAAGCCACCTTATCGACCTCCCTTTGGATAAATATAAAGATCCTATCCTATTTTGGTTAAAAATTGAAAACGATATTTCTGTATATTTCGTCATTGTAGTATAGTCCCTCTAGCATTATTAAGTTGTTATTCATGTAAATTTGTTTTTGAAAACTCGTTTTTTTTGTAATTTCTTAACAGGCTCCCCATGCAATAATGCAACTGTGTATGCATCAAAAATATTATTTTGTTTTAGGTTATCCCGAACACATTGTATTCTCTGAGTTTCGTCGTTGCTTCGAGGTGCTTTGCAAACAACTTGGTGGTACTAAGAGTGGAATATTGCCTCTACCAACTGGAAATGGACCTCTCGAATCATTGGACGACAAGGCAGCCACAGAACATATACTGAAAACATGTGATATCGAAAGGTCACAATACAGACTTGGAATAAGTCAGGTAATATCATAATCCTGGGATTTTTATCAGGGATTTCGTGCAGGGGTTCCGCAAGTTCCATTCAAGTTCGACAGTCTATAATATTATATGTACATTGTGTGAATGTAATAAAATACATAATTTTGCCACTATCATGAAACTTGCGTCAATTCAATTTGTTTTGCTAGTATTAGGTTTCCTTTTATATATATTTATAATTTAAAAAAAAAATTTCATAGGGGTTCCTAGAGTCGCCGGAATATTCAATTGGGGGTTCTTCTCCAGCAAGAAAATTGAAAGCGACTGTCCCAATCTAAGATTCAAATATTTGGCCATGATTCAGCATTTGTGTTTGTATAGAAATTTGTTGAATAAGCATTCCTAACAGACAATTAAAATTAAAAAAGACTTGAATACTCTTAACGTTTTTGTGGTCAAATATTTTCTTGGAACTATCTGAGAGTCAAATTGATGTCAAACATGATTTGAAAGCGGAAGTCGTTTTCTTGAGGGCAAAATTGGTTTAATAATCTGGTACATATTTTCAACAACTTCACAGCCTTGTGTTTAACAGTGATTATATTTGGTACCTATTTCTGAAAAATTCATTTTAAATCCTGTTTTCTAGGTGCTATTCCGTGCTGGTGTACTTGCACAATTGGAAGATAGAAGAAATGAAAAATTGACGTCAGTGATTGTCGCAATACAATCACAATGCAGAGGATATCTGGCAAGGAAAATGTATGAAAAAAGAAAGGTAAGAGGGTAGGCCAGGGGTAGACATTTCTGAACATAAATATTTTTTGTGATGATCTTCTCTGTACAAGGCAGTAATCAAGCATCCACTGATACTTAAAATGCTACTATTTATGGAATAGATTATTTTCATTTCGGCATTGCCTAACGAGTTTATTACATCTTGGGTGGAGTGAGGAGTATGGGGTTTGAACTGTTGATGTTTAACTCGTGTCCGCCGCTAGAATAGATGAATGCAAATCTCTACGAACAGAAATCATTTCAATTAGAGAAATTGGATTAAAAAATGAAATCTATCTCACTATGCTAGTGTATAACAGAAATATTTGAAATGTTGTGAAATTCGGTCGAATATTATATTGGTATAATTCGAGTCAAATATTTAATTGTCGAATTGCCTTAATCTTTAGTTTTAACTAAATTCGGATATCTCTGATTGAGCGCATAACTTAACCTCTGTCTCTATTATTAACGTTTGTACTAGGTACTCTACCCCATAAAAGTGCGAACTAATGAATCTTGACAATGTTTTGATAATGAAGCGTCAAATTGAATCTGAAAACAACAGTCTGGAACCATGAAAACTTATCCCATCTGAATTTTTCATGAGTTCCATGTCTGCATTGAGAGGGAATTTACGGTCAGATTATAATTGGCCAAGTATGTGTTAATAAAAAGCAATGTAATAGTGAGAAACAATGCTTGTTTGTGAATAACTAAAGAGGAAGCACAAAATGAGTGCCATTTAAAATAATATCAGACTAGAGGAGATTGTTGCAAATGAAATTTTAAGAGAAGTTTTAATGAAGAACTCTGATAACTAATAGATAAGCGTTGTAGTCAAGAAATTAAAATGATTTTCAGGTCTTTAATCGAAAAGGAAACCCTATTAGCCAAGGGATATTTTGAATTATACATTTGAATTGGAACCAAAAGCAACAATTCCTTATAAGATTGAACTAAATATAGTTGTAGACTTGTAGTTGTATTTTGTAGATATAAGGGTGCAATGCATAATAAAGTAATAGGTAAATCGTTGTTAAATTAGATAACTAAGACCAACCCCTTTCGACAGTTGTGAAAACCATTTCACAGATTTAACAAGGGGATAGTTTATAGAAAAATTTATGGCATCAAGGGGATGGTTTATAGAAAAATGTCAAAATCTTGATTAAATGATGTTAGTTTGAACAGTAAAATACAGTATATGTATTTGAAAATTGAGAAAAAAATAATTATTAACCTGACATTTTTGAGTTAATTGTCACCTTATTTCGTTGGTCAAACGTTTCTACATAATGCTGCAACATTATAAAATCGTTGATATTTATTATGGCTAGTTAGTACTACATGTTTTTATTTGTCAGTGAACAATTTTTGTTGTGCAAGCACATGCATGTTTTATCACTTGACAGATGTATCGTATCGTTGGCTAGTTCGAACTCTGGCATTATACTCATACTCATCAGAGTCCGAAACACTATCAAGATGAGCCCACTGAAATATTTAACAAATAAAGGAAAATAATTATTGCGGAAAGAAAAATACAATCTTTAACCACTAGAAATTTCTAAGCATTCGGATTAGTAATTAGGATGAAAGTGTTTTTTCATAACAAGAAAAAGAAAAGAATAAATACTAACAACCACATAAAAACAGTCCATAGGTCTACTTCGTGTCCAATATTACTTCATGTAGTTGCATTGATTAAACATTGCATTAAATAAACATATAATCACCTATGGTACATGGATAATTATTTCAACATGTATCAATGATATATCAATTTTATCTCAATATCACCCATGATCCATACTTGACAATGCTTGAATATTTCATATTAGCTTAAGGTTTCATAGTAGTATAGTATATTGTAGGTAATGATTATCAGATAAAAATTAACCTTGCTTTGATAATATTTAAACTGAAATCTGCCCTTAACACCTGTGCCTTAATAATTAAGCTGTATTATGTTCATTACACGCTTATTGTAATCAGTGTAGTGTACGCTAGCCTTTATAATGAAAGAATGTGTTCTTTGAACGAGATTTTTGGGATCATTTAGTTATTTTATATGTATTTACATATAAAAATTGTATGCAGATTGCAGATTAACAATGGGATTTGTAGGGAGGATTTTCTAGTTATGGTATAGGGAATTGTCAAAAAGCCTTTGTATACATTGTAGGACGTTCACCAAATTTTTGCCATAATTTTGTGCTTATTTCTCCAAATGAATAAAATTGAATTTGCATCTGATATTGCTGCAAAATGAATTCATTTATTTGGGATATTTAAATATTAAAAATTCTACAATGGTAAATTTTTGGATTTCATTTCTTATAATATTGGAAACATGCTTACTGTGCCATGCATTTACTCAAAGTTAGCAAATAAAACTAGTTATGAGGTTGTTAACCTTTCAGATGAAATAAAATGTGACCTTATGTTATTTATGTAGGACATAATACTATTATTTGTATTAGCCATGTTACAAATTCCTAGTGTTCACTACTGAAATAATTTAATAAAAAGTAATTTTTCAAATTTATTTCTGAATTGGGAATTGAATTTAAATAATTCTGGGAATTTCATTAATTGCTCTGAATTTAGTTTTAAAACTTGTTAAAATGAAATATTGAAATATTTTCTGAATGGATTAAGTGAAATGCGAATTGGGAACATTGTTTCATTGCTGTTGTTTAATATGTACCTAGAATTTTGTTATTATAAAATGAATGGACCTAAATTGCTTATTTAGTATCGGTAACCGTAACGATCTGTATCAGATACCTTAGCAATAGCAAGTGGGTTTAGCAAAAGTTTCAAAATGTAGGGTCAAAACTGAGAGACTTTTTGAATTCACTGTCGAATTTTGTGAGCAGTGCACTAGCTGCAATTATAACTATAATCGAGCGAACTTGAGAATATAGATAAAATCGTTAGTGTTTATTATCATATAATTGGATTTTTCAAATATCTTCAAAAGTTTTTATCCAATTGGCTAAGTGATCCCTTTTACCATACTTTATTATATTTGATATTGAATATTCAGGGATGGCCAAATCTGAATATTTCACTATTTCGAATACATCTGAGAAATATTTTTGAATATGGAATATTGAATACATTCTTAATTGGGGGCAAGTTCACATGGAAAATTACATAAACCATTATAATATCTTCATGTTGATCACATTTGAAAACGACAAAAATATAAAGGTCATTGTTTTTTCCATGTTGTTTGTTATCAGTTAAGATAGCTACCCTTGATCTACTCGTCTAAATATTCTTAATTCAGAACTTTTTTATATCGAAATTGATGAAATTTGAATGTATTCGAATATTGGATTCTTTTTAGGCAGCCCTATTATTGTCTTATAGAGCAAATTCAGATTATTTTTGCTCAAACTGGTTAAAAATTTGCTATTTTTAATGTTGTCAATTTTAGAAATTTCTTCAGAACAGTTTTTGATAATGTTTCAAGAGTGATCTTTAGTGAACTGAATTAAATTCTATCAGATCAACAAAATATATTATGAAGGTTATAGAGTCGATTCCCGATGATTTAGAGTTCGATTCATCCAGCACTTGTTGCAAATCCAAAAATGGAGTAACTGAAAACTTGGAATATACAAACTTGAAATATTATCCTTTATGCAACGGAACAATGAAATGTAACAGGTTTAGTAATATATGCAAAGAAAATGAACAATTCACACCACCGACTCCAAAACGTAGAACGTTTACGTCTTCGATAAAATTTTACGTTGATGCCCCAATCAAAGTGATCAAACGATCATCATCTCAGATATTCAGGTGTAAAAGTTACAAAAGCACTGTATATGTTGAAAAATGTTTACAAAGACATACGACTCAAATTTGTTTACGAGTTTTGGAAAATAGTTCTATTTATTGTGAAAAAAATATATTTGATGCAACTCCGACATGGTATTTTAAAAGTCGAGACGTGTTTTCAACTTCAAAAATAACTGGAAACTGGGATATTGCTTATTTTCATTGGAAATCACGACACAAAAACGTATATAGTTTCTTTATACAATTACTTTGAATTTATCTTTTATTGGTATTTGGTACTCTATAGTGTGGCTTTACGATTGATTGCCTGTCTAGTGAGAGGAATAATTTATAATAGGAATAGTAGGCTATGAAATGAATTGAAACTGTAATACTACAAAATGTATTGTTATTACTTTGTTATAGCGATTTATCTTATATCGTTATGTCCACACTCCGCTGATTGCCTTGGTATTTTAGAGTAGTAACGTTTTTATTTTGTTGTAAAAAGGTGCAACCACGAGTTACGTTGAACACAATTAGATTAATGAAGAATGACATTTTAGATTCTTGTAGTTGTCATGGATTGAATATTTTACATGGCAAAAAAGTTATTATACACTAAAAAGTTGACTCTTAACGAGCATGTAGTTGCGGCGACTGTTTCAGAAGGGAATGGCAATTTTTGATTCTAAAACACCCGCTTTTGAAAATCCTGGCTCTGCGCCTTCGCCAAATGAATATTATAATAATACTCGAGTTGTATTGAATTGGTGCCAAACTGGAGATATCCCAGTCCCTTCAAAAATAATAGTTTCTATCATATTTGCTTGTAATCAGTGACTGCTTGTACAGGGCCTTGTTTGGAGCAAAAATTGAAAATAAGTTTAATAAAAAAATCAGTACTATCATTTCTATTTTCATTTTCTGTAATTGTATGTATTTTCATTCTCAGGTTCAAGTCGTGGCGATCCGTTGCATACAACGAAATGTCAAGAAATTTCTGGTGGTTCGTCAGTGGCCTTGGTGGAGATTACTGACTAAAGTACTACCTTTGGTGGAGGTCCATCGAACAGAAGAAGACCTAAGAGAGAAAGAGGTAATTGGTTGTTTTTATGAAAATTAAGGAAAGATTTTGATAAGTATTCATGAGCGTACAAAGCAAATGGCAGCAATATCTAAAAAATTGGACGAAATATAAACAAACATGAACCCACATTCGCAAATAAACTTTGTTAATAAGATTTCGATTTTGGAAACTATGTGGCATATAAAGCAGATGGGGGAGGTATTTTATTGAAGTTAAGATTGATTTGAGTAATATTATACACAAACATAAGAATAAATACCAATTAAATAACAATAAAACAAAGGAATCCTTGTACTAAGCAATCAGCAAATGAACCAAAAATTCAGATCATTCTTTGTAAGGCTCAAAACATCTATGTACCGATCTAAATTTTCATGCACTATCCTTTTTTATTATACCGTAACACTAATTCGTAGGAAAAGTGATAAATAGACAAAACAATTAATATTGCATTTAACATCCAAAAGATTTGGAAAGCAGCTAGTCCAGATTTGGTATGGAAATGGTTATAACCAGGCATTGCTCCATGTGCATCATGAACTTGGATTGTTTAGGAAGTTGTTACCTGAACCACTCCATGATAGTTCAAATATTTCATATAGGTATCAAATCTGTGAACCCACGCATAGTAATCAGTGTAACACCAAAGGGTGTATCTTACACTTAGCACAATTCGACATACAACAAATCAATAAACTTTCAAATTTAACAAATTTGCAATTTTTTCATCAAAGTGAAAGTACAATATTATAATCAAATCATTAACACAACAATTCTGTTATCTTGGCTCAGTGAGTATTGTTATATCACCAGAACAATTTTTCCATACAATATTTATGTATAGATATTGATTTATTTACCTAACTATGTTGATAATTTATTCAATATTTTACTACCATAATAAGATATTGTATTCCAGTAGCAATCTGTATCGTTGTATAATTCATAGGGACATCCAGAAAATTGAATCAATTTGAATAATTATAAAACCACTAGTGTATAATATAATTTTCCAAGTCAATACCCTGATCACATTATTTTACGATTAAATTATTTGCAGTTAAATTGGGTAGTTGAAGCGAAGAGTAATTTACTCATAATTTCATGTTATATTGCTGTTATTTTTGCTCAAGTCAGAGTTGAATTTTGGGTGATTGAGAATATTAACGCACAAGTGATGTTGGATTTAGCACCTATGAACTTAGGGATGCCCAAAAACGAATATTTCACTATTCCAATTACATTCCGAAAAAATATTTTCAAATATGGAATATCAAATACATTCTAAATTGGGGGCATGTGGAAAATTACATAAATCACTATATCTTTATGTTAATCATTTCTAAAACGACATAAATGAGGTTCTTGTAAAATAGAAAAAATAATTGTTTTGGAAATACAAATACTAGGAGACATCTTCAGTACTAAAAATTTGAATTTGATTGTTATATTGTTTGAAAGAAAAATGATTTTTTCAACCCCAACAACAACAGCACCAATAAGAGCAATAACAACAATTTAGCTAAATTGTTTATACATACAATTCATGCCGGATTACAATCGGTAAATCTTGTCCAGTTAGGAGACCGATTAAATCAACATAACACATAAAATGAGAGCAACCATTTTTTTCCCTTTTTCTAATTCTGCCTTTTTCACGAGTTTGGCATATTTGTGAAAGCAATTGACCATTGTATATCTGGCCACTCACCATCCCAAGTATTTGGAGTGGACAACATGAGTACTTTGAAGCGTGGACGGTGCAAAAGAAAATTTAGGAGGGATTTTTATATTCAATGATTGTTTTTGGATTAAGCAGCAGCTGGTTATGATTCGTATCATCTTGATCAATTTTGCCATTCTAAAATTATTCTTGGTCAAGCATGGTTGGAGAATAATACAGCTTTTTTCAACACTGAATTACCTCAGTTTCATGCTTGATTGAACAATTTTTTCTTTGTAAAATTATTGTTCATTCGGTACAATGATACAAGCAACTTTGTGAGTATAAAATAGAATTATTTATATATAATTCATACAAAGGCCATAAAATATTAAGAGGACTCGTAGTAATGACTGAAGACTCTTATATAAATTGTATTTGTAATATTCAATGGTCATTTGAATTGCCCTTCAGTGTGATAGATGTTCAATAAAGGACACATTCAATATAGCTTAAGTATGAAATTTTGTTGTCAAGCTTGCTCAAGAACTTGAATACGAGGACTTGAGAATTTCAGAAGAATGGAAACAGAGTATAGTTCTTAGCAGAGTTTTTTTGATGAAGAAGTTTAAATAGAACTGAAATATGACAGGTCAATTATGCAACCACAAAGCGAGGAATAACTATAGTCAGATATTTCCTTAAAAAGCTATCCAATATGCCTTAATAATTTTTGTATCGTACTAACCATGAGGCGCACTTTAAACTTTTTTTTTCAAAAATTGATTCTTCGCCTTGTAATGTAGTGCTTTATTGCCTACACTCGAAACCAGTACGAGTACTATTTTTTAACAAACTGTCGTTATACGTTTTTGTAGAATAAAATACAATATTGAGTTTTTTTGTTTAATGAGCTTCGTACGATAACTCGATACTCCTTAAAAAACGCTTTGACTTATAGCCCCATGCGTCCTTTGTATGGACAATGCCCCTATCTGAAAAATTTTTGTGTTTCGTGTTCCAATTTTCTCCCAAAAAATAATACTAGGGCTTATTTTGGGGGGATGTCTTCCATTTTCATTTATCAAAAACAAAATTACAAAGTAGAATATTAGGAAATTTTCAAATATACAAAATATGAAAACCGATATTCAGATATTCACTCCTTGCTACCGACTGGGTCTTATTGTAAGGGGAGGGCTTATATTAAAATCAATTTTAAAATTCAGACTTGGTCTTATTTTCAAGCGAGGTCTTATTTTCGGGAAACACTGTTGACGATGCGCATCATGATCCTTAATAAAATATGGTAATAAAATAGTACTGAAATTACTGCTTTTGGTATTGATAACTTTGATCATTTTTAATCATGCAATTTGCTGATACTTAAAATCATCAATATATTGCTAAATTATTATTTTATTATCATGATATGCCATTTATTTTTAAGCTGTTAGGTTTTTTAATTTTAATTATCATTAATTTAAGATAGTTTTTGGAGAAGAGAATAGAGACGATGAATCATAGCTTAGTTTAAAATGATTTATGAACTGACCTATTTTTGTTCAATGTTACATTGTCCTTTTTGAATGGCCAATAATCTTTATAATTGATAAAAGATTCATGCTGTGATCTATTTTCATCTCCAAAGTCTCCAACTGTGTCTGATTTGAATGAAAGAATTTGCTATTATTAAATGAGTGGTTTATAGACAAGATCGTCAGATAACTGAGAGAGAGATATATTTGACATGCAGTGCAGTTTTGTAGACATTTTTGTGCCACTTTGGTAGGCGTGTTATCACTTGCTTAACATGATCTCAATCGCATAAGGACATTTATAGAATTCAGTTTCTAACCCTAACTAAAATAATTGAGATCAGACAACAGTAATGTGTGCCCTCTGTCTTGTTCAACATCCATTTATTTTTATGACAAGAGCCAGGAGCACTAGTCCAGGAAAATGTGTATGAATACTGTAAAAAGTCAATAAATATGTGACTCTTGTTAAATTTCATTCTTAATTTTTCGACAGAAAGTGGACCTATAGATGGTTTTGTTATTATGTGTTGTTGGTATTATTAGTGTTTTTATTTTTTTCTCGTTGGTGGGAAAAATCGCTTTTCCATCAACTACTAGACCAATTGTTTTGAAATTTTCAGTGGTTAAAGATTGTTGTTGTCACTAGAAAGCTATTACTTTTATTCATTTCAAAAATTTCTGTGGGGATTTGTTTTTTGAGTGTGATAACATTAAAATAAAAAGTGCACACCTTGTGGCGGTTCCTTGTTCGTCAAGTAAGAATTACGGTACATTACATTATTCTATATTACACTTCTCCATACTAGTAAGTATCAGTAATCACCAGCTAGTAGTATTGATCTTGTTGTCACACTTACTAGAATCTGTATCAATTTGAAAACAACACTTGAAATGAGATTAGTAGCGTTCTAATTCTTTTAATCTTCCTTATTATTGGGGTTTCTTAAGTAGATTACTGTTAGCCACAGAAAGGAAGACATCTAATCATTTAATATATACTGTTTGCAAATGTAATTATTTGTGTTTGTGTGCCTTTGGTCATTAGTATGGAATAGCATATTTTGAAAATGAATGTATGTATATTATACGTAGTTTTGATGTAGTTTGAAATGGGAGAGCCAGGGATATTATGGAGGAAGAAGATCAAGTATTAATGGTGTTTGTCAATTATTTTCCCATTGGATTTATAGAGTTCTTATATCACATTATTTATGTGAAAAGCTGGTTTATTCTGAAGTAGGAATATGATATCTTCAAACTTTATAATTTTGTTTAAATTCAAATAAACCTTTAGTACAATACACACGACAGAGGGTACGGCACAACAGCGATATGTTCAATAGTCAGTTTGTGGCACGTCAATGTCTCAGGTTCCGACATGAAAGGATGGAAGTAGGGTATAAAATCCGATTGACATGTTTTACAATAAATATTTCGAAACATGGTAAGATTTGCTCGGGACATAAACTTGCTAAAAACCAACGTTCAGTGGGTTATAAGGTGAAAAATTCGTAATTGGAATATATAAAAATTGAAAATGGAAGATAAATAACCATGATGAGCTTTTCATCAAAAAATGAAATCGATTGTCAGCAGTGTTCACTATTAGCGCACTTTTTTGCGAAAATTGCGAAGCACTTTCGCAACTTTTTTTAGGGGACTGCGAAATAGCACTTTTTTTCCGATTTTGAGAGAAATAGCACTTTTTTCCGATTTTGAATGGAATAAAAATTCAAAGTTAACAAATATTCGAGTATTAAGTTGACAAATAAGTAATATACTGGTACTTTTGTAACTCAATTCTG